GTCTTCCACGCTGGTATAGGGTCCCAAGGCTTTAGGCCAACCTCTACTGCTTCTTCCCAGACCACAACCAGGGAACTGGGTGGGAAATGCAGCTGTCGGGATTAGAACCAGCACCCATCTAGGATCCTGGCACAATCAAGGCAAGGACTTTACCACTAGGCCACCGAGCCGGGCACAATTTATTTCTCTGATAAACATGATTCTGGCTGTAAATACCTGTCCCACCTTTTTCTTTGTTCCTTGCCTCCTTCCCGTTTCTACACAAGAAAAAATTTTAATTATGGCTCTTAGTTTCAAGGAATTTATAGTCTGGTAGAGAAGGTAAGATTTTCACAAAAACAAGTATAAAACAATTGAAAAATTCATACCATATGGGAACTAGAAATAAGAACATTCTGGAAAAAGAATGTTCAAGAATTATTCATGTTGCACTGGGCAGTACTAAAAATTTACTGGTTACAGAGCACAGCAACCCTTCACCATCACCGTTGGCTCCAGAGATGCTCTGAATACCCACTAAACAACTTTAATTAACTGTTGGAATCTGACATTTTTTGAGATTACAAAATCAAAATTCAACCACCTGACTTTCAATACTTTCTGACCTGTTCTGTTGCTTAGCTTTCTACTTCTGGTTTTCAAATAATCCTACATCCACAATAAAATTACCTTCTCCCTCATTGCCAAACTCCAGTGTTCGCATTCGTTAAATCTCTTCCTAGACTTCTCTTTCCATGTTATTGACATACAGTTAGACTTAAATAACATTTGAGCTAGTTTATTTAATTTTTATTTCTCTTGATACTCTGATTTATATTGTAATGACAGATAAGTCTTCGAATGTATAGCCCTAATCTAAAGCCTGTAGTTTCCATATTCACAGCTTCTAGACTAATAAGTCGAGTCTTTTTTTAATCAATGTAATCATAATATCCTAATATTGTTTTCAAAAACTTATTTCCAAATAATTAGCTGTGCTCAACTTGTGACCTTCTTACATTTCTGGACTAAACTATGCTAACTTTTAATCTTTCTATTAAAAATTTCATCCATCTAGAACCTCCTGACTTTTAAACTTTTTCGTTATTGTTTTCCATGATATTGTTTTGTAGGTACAGGATTCTCCCCTCCATCTCACCTTTCTGCACCCCGACTCTCCTCATCAACACCATTACCCACCCACCCCATATTATTACAATAGTATAGGTCTATAGCAACAGCCATAAGACATCATTATTTAAGTGTATCACAAAATTGTAAGGATAATCAATGGTAGAAAATCTAATATCCTATTGTCAAGGTGTGTTTAGCAGTTTCATTGGGTGTCCTTCTTTTATTCAGGAGTTGACTGCATATCAAATGAATCTTCATTTTCTGGTAAGCTAGTCCCCATTATACAGTTCCTTTATGAGAATATATGTATATAAATTTTCATTTATATATCCATTGATCTTGTATTTTGCATGAAGAGAGCCTTATATTAGAGAGTACATAGGATATTTGTCCTTTTGGGATTGGCTTATTTCACTAAGCATAATGGTCTGCAGTTGGGACCATACTGTTGTAATTGTAAATGGGAAAATTCCATTCTTTTTAATGGCTGAGTAGTATTCAGTGGAGTAGTACCACAGTGTCTTCATCCATTCCTATTTCAACGGGCATCTGGGTTGGTTCCATATCTTTGCTCTTATGGATTGTGCTACTATAAATACAGGATTCAGGTAACTTTCTCATAGGCAGATTTCACATCCTTTGGATAAATTCCCAGGAGAGGGATAGCTGGGTAATTTGGTCAATGAATTTTTAGTTGCTTAGCCCTCTCCATATGACTTCCATATGAATTAGCCTATACTCTACCAACAGTGGAATAGGGTACCTTTTTACCCAACCAATCAACATCTATGCCAACGAGTGTTATTAGTTAATTTCTGAATGGAGGCCTAACTCCAGTGATGCTGGAATCCCTGATTTTAAAACTTCAAGGTTTATTTTGATGTTTCTATACCTAAAGCAAGCTAATCACACATTTCCCACAACATTCTTCCTCTTTTAAAGTCTATAGCATAGGAAAGTTTGCAATGATGCGACATATTCACCTCTCTTCTCCACTCTAGGGAAAGTTGTATTGATATCTGTAAACTCATGGCATTTAGCATGCTGTGTGCTTACAATGTATTCAATTTTTCATTTCGGAAAATTGAATGTTTAGTCATCAACAAATGAATTTCTCCCAGCAATTACAAGTTTCCCCAGATACCAATAGACTGGTGCCTGTTCCCGCTTACCTAAAACACTAATCATTAATAAATTAACCTAAGTTCCAAGGAGCAAACAATATCTAAATAATAACTTCATATTATTTCTAGAGGCATCTTAATCTTGGAACCTTTCTCCCTTTAATCTCTTTTGAGCCAGTCAATCAAAACCTCACCTGTTTAGATTTAAGAAACCATAGGGTTTGAAGAGCTACTGCTGAGATGTTCAATTTTAAATATAATAAGCAGGAGATTGTGAAATATTAGATGTATTTCAAAAGAACTACTTTCCAAATGGGAGACTGTGAAATATTACCACACCAACTGAAGCAACAAGAAGTCACAGGCTGCCACCCTGCCAGCCTCTTGGTTTCCACAAACAGCATGAAAGAATATATTTCATTTATTTAAATACAAGACTGAGTAAGATATCAGAAAGGAAAAAAAGGTTAATTTCTCCAGAAGATCGTTATTTAGAAATCAATTAACATACCAAACCATATAAACCTACTTGACTACTTGTAAATTTAAATGTCTTCTTCCTATCCCCAATATTTAACTCAGCTCGTGAAATGTGCTAATCATTGTAAGTTTGGGGAGCACATAAAGCTCGGAAATCAATGTGCTTCTGGTACAAAGGATTAAGGAAAGAATTTACTAAATCAGCTTAGGAAATGCTTCATTTCCTTTCCCAATCTGCAAAGGAAAACACAAAACAGAGCCAGGTGCAACAAAATCCTATACTTGTGTGGGAAAAAATCTCTTCCAATCCCTTCTAGGCACTATTTACATGATCAAATTATGCTTCTAAACTATAACTTCATTTCCTAATACAAGTGGGGTTGTTGTTGCTGTTGTTGTTTTCTTAGAGATGCTGTCTTGTTAACAAGCAGACTTGTCAGAAAAGGTGAAAGAAATCAGAATTTGTTAACTGTTTTCTTTGTTCAGGGAGAAAATTCTTTTTCATGAGCTAGCAGTGAATTAAAAAAAAAACACACACTGTTAACATTCAACTCATTATTACTGAATGAAAGAACTGAATTTCTCCCAAACAATTGGCAGTAGAAAAATCTTACAGGCATCTCTGGTTTGTCCCTCACCTTCACTCCTCCCTCCTTCTGGCTACATCTGGAGCCAACTTCTATTAATCCTATTCCACTTTGCTTTCAAAAGGAATAGAAATCCACTTAAGGGTTGGCATTTCGGCGAAGCCTGGCCCTGTTGATAATCGCGAATCTGAAATGGGGAGCAACCTAACACAGATTTCAGCCTTGCTGCCATCCTGGAATGTGTTTGTGGACAGTGGTTTCCATAGCATCAGGGTTGCTATCCATCTTTCCCACACATATTGAAGAGTTGTTTATGCATTAGTGCTTTGATTTCTGTTGCACCTCCTAAATATTCTTGATGTTTAAAACGTCAGAATCTTAGTAATTCTTCCAAGCTCAATGTTGTGGTCACTATACTCGCCACTTAGCCTCAAAAACTGCAAGATGCATGGCTTAAGTAAACAAACATATGTGACTTTGAAGCATTGCAGAAATTTCCCTAAACATGTGTACTTTGAGAAATTCACACAAAAAAAATGTTTTCAGAAGGATTGTGATTTTTGAATATTATTTTTGTAAATTTGAATTCTCTAGCTAGTGAACTTCTGAAAAGAATATGAGTAATGTATTCATGGAATGCATGAAATCAATTCTCTTTACAATAATAAAAATTAAAATATTTGAAAAAAATGTGATGTTTGTCCCTCTACTCTACACCCTGCCACAGTTCATTAGAGTTAGAATGAATCTTCCCAACTGTGTTTCTTTGTGATATTTTATACTCTCATTTTCATACTTATTATATCTGTCTTATATTTAAACCATATATTATTTTTCCCACTGTGTAAAAGGACAATCTATTATTCATCCTGTCCAAAACAGAGTGGCAGGCTATCAAATATTGATAAAATTAATTACGTATCTGGAAACATGTAAGAATAATTAATAATCAAGTGACATCACTTTTTGTAACTGATCACTAACATAGTATGGTCTTATGTATGTTCATATGTATCCTTATCTGTTTCCTAATTTGCAATCAATGAGTAGGGTTTCTATATCTATGAATTCCTGAAATGTTGTGCCAATTGGTACATGAATGTACTTAGATGCACATACACATAGGACAATGGAATTCAATAAACTTTAACCAAACGGCTAACCCTCTACTTAGCCCACCCCCTCAAGGTATTTTGTTTCACTTCTGTAAAACAATTTCTCCTAACTGGTCAATCTAATAGAACTGGAAGACAGATTGAACAAACACAAGCTAGCACCTACTGTACAATATTTCTCTTTATAGCCTTTCACTCATACTCAGACATGGCAATCTTTCTAGGTTTAAAAACTAAAAGATACATTTTTGAGAAATAATACATTTTTCATCAGTCTTCTAATCCCAGAGTGTTATGCTTAAAAAAATGCCATTATATGTTTGTCCCAGTACCCTTATAATTCTTTTCAACACGCTTCACAGCCACTGCAGGCAGCAATGTTCCACCACAGTGAAAACAAACACCCAGCCTAGGAAGCTTCTCCACTATTCTAATTTGACATCCACTGGCTCAACTCATTTTAACTGACCTGCCACCTCAGTAAGCTACAAGAAGCTTCCTAAAAAGTAACCTGAGGCCAAAACAGCCCCATCGTGGTGTCTAGTCAATGCTATTAGAAGATTGAAAGGAAGAAATAGTACCTTTGCTGTCTTCACCACTGCAAACACTGGACAGAAGAAGAAAAAGAAGCGTCCTTTGCAGCACTTCCATGATGTCTGTGTCTCGTCTCAGTGGCTTTTCTCCAGAGGCAAGCAGACACAACTCCCTCCCAGACTGCCAAGGCCTTGTTAGCAAATGGAAAAGGTGTGTTGACTGTGAGCAGCCGCTGCCCATTCCTACTTATTTTGGGGGCTCTGATAAAGAACGGGAGGAAATACACAGACTCCCTTTGGGAGTTCAGCAGAGGAGATTTATTGTTTCAGTCCCTTACAGGAACTCTTTTTTTTTTTTCCTCTCTCTTCCTTTGGCAGCCTCTTGTGTTTTTGTTACTACATTATTTTGTTCTTCTTCAACGGAAAGGTCAGGACAGGTTTTGAACAGAAACAGATCCTTCTTGAGAGTGGATACCAAACTTTGTAACTTGGGTTGTGAAAGTATGTTTTGGAGTGGCTTATTCAATGGTCTCATTAAGCAGCTACTCGATTGAGAAAGAGGCTTCCACGGTCTGAAACTCAAATTTTACAGTACAATCTACATGGATTCCACTTGGTTTTCTCTTTGCAATGTGAAAGACGGGCTAGCACACACTACTTTCAGCAGATTGTACTTGGTTTTATTAAATAGATCATATTTTGCTCTTGAGTAAGCAAAAATACTTCTGAAACATGTCCAGAGAGGTTTTTCAGTATACATCAATAGAGTTAAAGTACTTGGGCATGCCTACTGCTTATTGCTTGTTTTTATTGGTGGTATCATTGAGGAATAAAGTAAAATTTACTTATGCTATCATGCACTTGTAGAGAACAGAACTGAAATGAATTGGAGTGGCATCGAAAAGAATCTGTATTATTGCTGAGAGATAGATTCTTGAGATCAGAATGTCAATCAGGCAGGATACTCTCTATATAAAGGATATCTGAGAAAAGCGTGGAGCTGCTAATGCCACAGCTCTTGATATAATTCCTGTGTGAAATGTCACTTTATACTTTCCCCATTATACTGATGACATCCCTGACAAGTGTGTAACCAAACCAATGGATTTGTCTTTCTCACCAAGAGGATGTTTCAGAAATTGTACCTTCACCTGTTTCTAGGAAAGGCATGAAAGAGGAACTCTACATGGAAGAATGGCCAGAGCAAGCTGGGTGCTCAAAACAGCTTTGAGCACTAGGTCATTACATCTGAAGTCATGTCATCCAAAAGCCAAGTTTACAATTTGTGCAAGAGGAAGACTCAATTTTATCTTTCTTGTTGATTAATTTTTGAAGACATAACATGTTTATGAATCTTTAGCAAATCTTGAAGAATATAAATATCTAATGCCTATGAATAAATGTCACATGTACTCTCCAGAAATAAATTTGGGTGTGGCCATGTGAAGTCAGACACACTGCTTCACTTCCTGCTCCTTCTTGTGCTCGAACTCTGGCTTTGTCAGCACACAGGGTCAGCTCTAATGCTAACGCAATCACATCTGTGTGGTTCAATGGCATTTGAGTTCCTGAGGTCTTTCTTCATGTTTATGGTCAACTGGCATCTATTTCAATAGTGAAAGGTGACACATTGTGATCATTAAAACAAAAGGGTATGTATGAAAAGAGAGAACAAAAAGAAAAACCAAAACTAAGAAAATAATAAGTATATATTGATTAATTTTATTAATTAGCAGCTAAGTATATATACAAGCATATGCATTTCATATGTAAGAAAATATATTAAGTAACTAAGGAAATAAAGAAATAGCACACGTAACAAAGAAGGATGAGCTTTGCTTTATGAGATTGGAAGTTATAATTAAAGCTGTGGTGATTGTTACAGACACAAGCAGACAGATGGCATGGAATGAAAGTATTGAATTATGTGTATTAACATGTTTATTATTAAACATTCTGTATTCTAATCTACTTGCATGTTTTTTAATTATCAGAAGATGTATGACCTAAATTCACAAATGCTTTTTCATTTAAAAAATTTACTTGAAACAGTTATAGAGAAAGGGAGAGACAGAGAGACCTTCCATCAGTGTAAAGACTTCCCTCTGGGTCTCTAAAATGCGTGCAGGGGCCCAAAGACTTGAGCCATCCTCCTTTGCTTTCCCAGGCCATAAGCAGGGAGCAGGATGGGAACCAGAACTATAGCAATATCCATATGGGGTGCCTGCATCACAGACATAGGATTAGCCTGATATATCTTCTCTTATCCTTAAGAGCATTTTATTAAGCAAAAGGGAAACTGAAAAAAGATAAACCATTGTTCAAGAGTTGAAAAATGTCTTTGCTTTTTTGTTTTCCCCCAGTTTTTCTTCCATTCACCTTTTCAAAGCTTAGACTACCAGAAACATAAGATGCTAGGAATAGGGCAAAAACCAAGCTGATATTTAAAGATCATTCTATAAGAGATAAGGCCCTCCACCCTTTACAGAGTCAAAATGCTAATGAGTACAAACAGTAGGCAGGCTCAGCCAATTGGTCAAATTTTTTGCCAAGGAATCAAATTTCTTCCCCATTAATCAGATTTCTATTCACATATCCTAATGGCCTATAGCCAGTGTTATTTCAATGTTGTTTAAGAAGATATGGTGGTAATCAATTCTAAAAGATGCCATAGAGCTAGCTTGTCCCTCACATTGCCCAACTATGCATTGCAATTTTACTCCTCAACAATGAAAAACGTTCTCTCACCTTACATTGGTAAAGTTCATAAAAGCATAAAATCTCAGAGATGAGATATATTTAAAGTTATTTTACTACAAATAATGAACTAACACAAGAATCCTTTGGCTTTGGTTTGGATGTAGTTCATTCCCCATTTTTATGTGTTGTTCCCAATGTGGTGGCATTGGGAGGCAGTGGAAGGCTTAAGAGGAGGAACCTAGTGGGATGTCATTGGAAGTTGTGCTGTTATCAGAGATTTTAGGATAGTTCTTCTAAGTTAGTCTTTTCAAGAGCAAGTTATAATAAAAGAATAAACCTGAGGCAGGTGTTTGACCCAGCAGTTAGTATGCCACTTGAGATACCAAGTTCCACTTAAGAGTGTTTGGTTCAATCCTGGGTCTTCTACTTCCTCTCCAAATTTCAGCTAATATTCTATTCTATTCTATGTTATAGAATGTAATATATAATTATAATTATGGTTATGATGCCAGAAATGCTAGACAAACGAGAAAATACTCAATGATTGTACATTAGGAATGACTATAGTCTGGTGCTATTTTGGGTAATAGCCAATCACAAGTGTCTAAGCTATCCACCCAAGCTTGGGAATATTATAGACCAGAAATTGATAAATGCGGTTTTGGGTCACAAGCCTAAATGGCACCAAGAGTGCTTTAAGCAAATAAAAGAGTATAGGGTTTAATTATGGACTATATACCCAGGATCTCTAAGTACAGGTCCAAGAAAACTTGTATTTTAAGGAACACTTATGCGTATTCAAGTTATTTGATTTTGTTTTCTCTAAGGTTTACTGGATGTGAACTCCATGTAGATTCAAAGACTCGGTAATCACATACCAAGAAAACTAATCCCCTTACACCTGATGAGAATCAATTTGGTTTTCCTAAAGATATTTCAGTCCACATGAGATGCACAGATGTGCTTCAAAATAAGAGAATTCATTCATATACTAGACCATATATTTGGCCCAGATACATCTTTTCTAGCTCATTTGTACACTCAGGATTGTTAGTGAAGAGCAAAGGAAAATAAATGTTTCCGTTTATATAATGCTGGCTTAGTGATTTTATTTGATAGTAAAAATAAAGCACCTTAACCACAGATTCAGCTGGTTTGGGAAGCCCTAAGCTATAGTGCAGAAAAAATGTGCATTCATGGAATTTGTCAGTAGCTAAATCTACAGCTGCAAAGTGTGATGTGTGCTTGCCTTCAAAATGAAATTATTCACTTGGTGACTACATTGATTTGAGTCTTCTGAGCGGAAAAACTACATCAAGATCAGAAACCCAAACATAGTGCAATTTTTGTAATTGATAAAATGAAAAGAACTCAATGCCTATTGGACTTGAATGTTTTGCATTTTTAAGAAATGTATTTGCAATGATACCTATCAACTGCACAGAAGATAATCCAACTCTAACCTCCACCTACTTAAAAAAAAAAAAGGAATGCTCGAGTTTGTCCTTCTGTGATGTTCTTCCAGATAACGGAGTTTATAATGTTGGCTGTCTCTTGGATCAATATTACTAAAATTTATTATCTCAGTACATGTGTATTAAGTTACTTGCTTGCAGTTCCTAGTTACGTGTAATATAAATTTTATTCAAACCAGCTTGAGAAACACTATCTTCCATTTTCTTTGTAGAAAATCTTTTTAATACCCATTGCTTTAGGCAATTCTCTGGATTGCCTCGTACGAAGGCAAGTGTTACACTGTTATGAGTAAAGTAGCTTTCAGGCATTCTGCACTTTATTAATGCCAAATTTGTGTTAATTATGTCAATATGTCAACATAGTTGCTTATTCTTTCTTTTTTTAATTTTTAAGGTAAATCCCTAGGGAAGATGGTTCACTCTAGACTTGAGTATGCCACCATGACCAGGGTGTTGTGGGTACCCTGAGGATATGTTTGACAGGGGATGAATGAATTCTGGGGTTCATAAACTAATCCACTACACTCACAGCTATGCAAGAGAGCTGATATGAAGTGGTTTCGATGTGGGAAACTGTATGGGGATGTCTGATCAGGCCAAGACACCTGCCCATGTGAGAGACCTGAGCTGGGCTACATAGCTTCCTAGGCCACCTGCTCATGCATGCAAAAGCTTGAGCTTGGGGGCATGTTTGGCTTGGCAAGACCACTATACCCTGCCGTGAGTGTTCTAGTAAGGGTGGGCCATGCCAGGCTGGGCCACAGCACCTGCCAGAACACGAGAAAACCAGATCTAGGGGGCAGATTCTGTAGGGGACTTACGGTTTTCCTCCCTGGGGGTGCTGAGAATAGATCATGCCAAACATGACTGCTACACCCTCCAGCACCTGTGGGATCCGGGGCTGGGAGCAGGTCTGGTAGGGTAATTTGGGGAACTCCCCTACTGGGCTCTACTTTTGCTCACTTATGGTGAGCACAAGAGCAAGGAGCAGCTCCTTTCATGGGGACACAGAAGAAAAAAAAAACACTGAAACATGTGTCCTACCCACCTACTTCCATACCAGACCCTCCCCACCCTAATTAGAG